TGAGAGCTGCTGGGTGCAGTCCCAGCCCTGGGTGAGAAGTGCTGTCATGAAACCACGTACGTGTAATATAATGGGTGCTTGATGGGGACATGCCCCGGGGAACAATATACAGGGAAGGTTTTTAGGCCAGTGACACGATCAAGATAAAGGTTTCTTACTGATACTGATAGCTGCTCTGTCAGAAATGTGTTAAGAATCCAACCAGCAGTTGGTTAAACAAATAACGGTTAAGTCCAGTAGCTCAAGGGTATCACAGAATTGGGTCAGAGTATGTATGCTGTTCTTTTGACCTGCCTCTGTGGTCACAAGATTGCTGCAGCCCCTGCTGTCATGAAGTCTTTGCGAAACCCCCTGAGAGTGGGGCCGACTCAGGACAGAGGCTTCCTATCTTCCTCCCTTTGATCGAGGAGGAGAATCTGTCCTGGAAGCTTCTTGGCTGATTTGCCCTCACATCACTTTCATCCAGAACTAGGTCATGTGCTGAATTAATTGGGCATAATAGGAAAACTCTAAGTAAATGAGGCTTAAATGAGCTTAAAGTTATTTCTGACTCATGAAAAAGTCTGGTGGCAATCCAAGCTGGTGTGGCACCCTGTGGTGTTAGGGTTACAAACTCTTACACATTGTACTCTGCTTGCATGTCTTCCATTCTGCCCTCCCCATTCCTAGGTTGCCTCAGGGCCCCAAGATGGCTACTGAAACCCCAGCCATCATGGCCCCATTCCAGGCAGGAAGAAGGGTGTGACCCTAGATCTTCAAGTCTCACACTGTTCCCACCTGTTTCACTAACCAGACATTGGTCTCATGCTCACATCTAGATGCCAAGGTGATTCAGAGATGTCATCCAGGGGGTCTTGCGCACAGCTGGAAACCGGGGGTTATGAGTGGCAACATAGCCCAGTGCAGGAGCTCTTGAGCTGGGGCCCATCCAAGGTTCCAGGGCAGGTCCGTGAATTTGAATGGGAAAAATGACATCCTTATTTTTGCTAACCCCTAAATCAGATTTAACTTTCCTTCTCTTAGGAATCGTGATCTTCCTGTAGTGCAGTGAACACAGTGCTAGCAGAGAACTGTGACTCTGCTGAGGACAGCACGCCTGTGGTCATGCCTCACCGCCACTTGGCGGCTGCTCCCGGTGGTGGTTATGCCCACCCCTGCTTCAAAACTGGGGGCCATCACTGGGCCTGCTAAGAGAGTCCACATGCCCACCCTGCCCCAAGTTAAAAAGAGCAAAAAGCAGACATGTGAATGATGGTACAGGCTGAGAGCCAGGTGTCTGGGCTTCAAGCCGGGAGGTGACTTAACTTCCCCACTCCTTTGTTTTCTGCGCCATACAGTGGGTGACTCTGTACTTGCCTCATGCAGCTGTTGTGAGGATCTAATGAGTTAAAACATCAAAGCACCTAGAACAGCGCCTGGCACGTAGTCAGTGCCGTGGACACGTTTGCCATTATTATTCCATCACTGAGAGAGGAGGGGAAAGAGAAGTTGGCGTGCTCTAGCCGGCTGCCGCGTGTGCCCTTGGTACCGGCACGGTCAGGTGCTGCCAGCAGGGCGAGGCTGCTGCAGCTACGGAACTAGAGCCTCCAGCAGGGCAGGGGTGCTCCCAGTTCCCATCATTTTGTGCGGAGAGTCACCTGAGCATAGGCCTTATAATTGCCACCCCGCAGATAGGACTGCCGAGGTGCGCAGTGGCCCAGGACCCCACAGCTAATATGGGAAGTAGCTCTACACTGAACAAAGCAGCTGACATGCTTCATGAACCCAAACCAGAATCTCCTAGGACAGCACAAGTGGGGGGGCAGGGGGGCGGGGGGAACTGTTCTCCTGGGCCCAGCCCTAAGGCATTTTTCCTAAAAGACAGTGTGGTGCTGAGATGAAGAGGGTTCCTGTCTTGGCTCTGCTGCTTTCCAGCAAGTGACAGCTTCTGTGTGCAACCCCACCTTTGAAAGGGGGATCCAGTAACGACATGTGTGTACACGTTCTGAGAGTCACATGTAGGTTAATTCTCCGTGTCCAGCACTTGAATGCTGGGCACATAGTGAGCAATCGAGAAGTGTAAGTTGCCGTTGTTGGCATTGTGATTGTTCCCCACCAACATCCCATTGTCCTCTGGGCTGCTACTCACCTGCTGTGGCTCTGGCCCAGGTGTACATTTCCCCACAGCACGGCTGAGAGAAAAACCCAGCGATCCAACTTGGACATGACAAAGAGGAAGACAATGGACCCTGGTGTTTTATTATGGGAAATTTCAAACATGCAGGACATAAAAAAGACCGTGCACGGGCCAGGAGACCATAGCCCCTGAGCCTGCCTACTGTTACAAATGCAGTTTTATAGGGGCACAGACCTGTCCCTTTGCATGTCGTCTGGGCCTGTGGTGGCTGCAGTGTTGCAGGTGCATACGTGACTAGTTGGGACAGGCCTGCAAAACTGAAAACATTAACTTCTGGCCATTTACAGGAAAAGTTTATACTTAGCACCCAGACTTACCATCTATTAGTGTCTGCCATGGTTAGTATTTTATTTGTTTCTGTGCACTTACAGGCTGGGGGGCCTGGGGCCCTTCTTGTCCTCCTCCTTCCAGAAAGAGGATTGCCCCCCTCTGCGTGCCTGGCAGTGGCTTCCTCATTTGTGCAGGCATTTCCTTCCACTCCCACAATGCCATCTCCTGTCACTCTGCAGCCCTGTGAGCTGGGACGGGAGGCTGAGCAAGGGGGTCTCTACAGTGGGCTGTGCCGTCAGAGCAGCTGGGTTTGGGCCCCAGCGCCCTTGGTGCTCGCCTGTCAGGTACCCTCACCTCCTTGGGCCTGTCTGCCCAGGGCTGGAGGACGCCGTGCTCCTTCCCTGGGAGCACGTGCACCTAACAGGGTAGTGCTGGGCAGGAGCCAGGTGTGTGAGAGTGGCGAGGGTGCCGCAGCAGATCACCCACAGTTCTAGTGGCTCAGCAGCAGAAGCTGTGCTTGCCGTTCTGGAGGCGAGAAATGTGAAATCAGGTGTCAGCAGTGTTGGTCCTTTCAGGAGGCTCTGAGGAAGTTCCCTTCCGTGCCTTTGTCCTGGCTTCTAGCAGCTGCTGGTGACACTGTGTGGCTCCCCGGCTTCTCTCTGTCTCCCCTAAGGACACAGTCACTGGCTGTGTAGAGGAAGCCCACTGTTCCTGTATCCCCTTTACTGTCATACCACTGCTGCACTTAGCGCTGACACCAGATGTGGGGGGTTTTCCCTGCCAAGCAGGTCTCCCTGACACGAGGTGGGTGTCCTACGGCGCAGTTCAGTTCTGACACCAACGGAGTCAGCACAGACCCCACTGTTGAGGCCGTAGCCCTCCCACTTCAGACACCTTCCCACTTTTAGTTGCAGGTAGTAGGTCCCCAGGAGACCTGTGACTTCTGTCCAACCTGGCTGTACATCGGAGGTTCCCTGCGCCTCTCCTTGGACTTGATTATTTGCTAGAATAGCTCATAGAACTTGGGGAGACACATTTACCAGCTCATTATATAATAAAGGCTGTGAGGAAGGATGCAGATGACCAGCCATGTGAGGAGATCATAGGGCGAGGCCTAGGGGATCTCAAGTGCAGAAGCTTTTGTCCCCCTGAAGGAGGGCGTGTACACCCTCCTGGTATATGGACACGTTCACCAATGTGGAAGCTCCATGGACCCCATACTTGGGGGATTTTATAGAGGTTTTATTGCATAGGCATGATTGATCATTAGCTCAGTTTCTGGTCCCCCTTCAGAGAGTGGGGGTGGGGCTGAAAATTCCAAGCTTCTAATCATGGGTTGCTCTTCTTGGTGTCCAGCCCTCATGCAGGAGCTCACCAGAGGTACCACATCAGAACAAAAGACTCTCCTATCACCCGGGAAATCCAAGGGATTTTAGAGCTCCATGTCAGGAACTGGGGTCAGAAATCAATTGTTAGAACAGAAGAGGCCCCTAGTGTGCTCTTAATCACTTAGGAAATTACAGGGGTTTTAGGAGCTCTGTGCAGAAGCCAGGAGCAGAGACCAGTCTATGTCTCCCCCCGCCAATTCAGGGTGTTCTCATCTTGAGATGCTTACCTAAGTACATCTGCAGAGACTTTGCTCCACAAGATGCCACAGGTGCCCCTGCTGGGGCCACTGCTTCCACTGTGATTGACTGTCCCTGTCTCAGTCACGGTCAGGGTCACTTGGTGTTTGCCAAGTTGTAATTTGGCACCTTACCAAGGTTCCCCCAAGTCTGGGCTGGCTGACGGTCTCCCCTCCTCTCCGTGTTCTCTCTCAGCTTTGCCTCAACAGCAGCAAGAAGCTGTCCACCATCGCCTTGGCCCTCGGGGTGGAAAGGACCCCCAGCTTTCTCATAACTGAGTGTGGGGGCCAGGACTGGCGCATAGCCGCTGTTCAGCCCATTACACCAGTGGTAGTAATGGGCAATAATGACGCTACCCTAGTTTCATAGCAATGTGTGGTGTGGTTTGTTCTGTCGTCATCTCTGTTAGCTGGAGTCCTGGGTTTCGGTCTCTGGGCCACACACCCAAGCTGTGTGACCTTTAGAAGGGGCTTGTCCTCCCTGAGCCTACCGCCACCTCTGTAGGGGGGCTTAAGACGGCTCCAGCCTCACTGTGGTGAGGGGCACAGGGCCTGGGCGCGTGAGCACTGCCTGGGACCTGCTTGGAGGAAGCGTGCTGCCACGGGGCCACGGGCCGAGGCTGCTAGGGCAGTGCTGAGCCCGATGGTGCTGAGCCCGGGCTGACAGCAGGAGTGAGGGGAAGTCAGCCATGTGCGGGTCTGGATAGAGTGGGCTGGCAAGCACCACTGAGGGGATCTGCTCCGCGAGACCCCACAGGTGCCCCTGCTGAGGCTGCTGCTTCCGCTGTGATTTGCTGTCATGGTCTCAGTGTCAGTCACAGTCAGGGTCATTTGGTAGGTGTTTGCCAAGTTGTAATTTGGCACCTTACCAAAGTTCCCCCAAGTCTGGGCTGGCTGACGGTCCCCCCTCCTCTCCCTGTTCTCTTTTAGCTTCGCCTCAACAGCATCAAGAAGCTGTCCACCATCGCCTTGGCCCTCGGGGTGGAAAGGACCCGCAGTGAGCTTCTGCCCTTCCTCACAGGTAACAGGTGCCTGGGACTGTTGGGGGAGGCTCCTGCTCGATAAGAGAGGCCTCATTGGGGACCCGACAAGTTGTGGGGCACCATGGGCCCGGGCAGAGGGGTCTGGAGCCCGAGAGCCAGCTTTGAATGGCATCAGCTCCAGCAGTTAAAAGCTGGTGCTTTTCAGCGAGTTTCTGACCTTGACTGTTCCTCGTAGTCTTGTGTGTAAACTGAGATAATCCTGCATGGGCTGCAGCGTTGGTGTGAGTGTAACGTGATGATTGCGCCCACTTACGTCCTGCCTCCGTGGGCTGCGCAGTGTCCCAGACCCTTTCTCGGGAGGACTCGGTTCAGAGTCCTCACAGTGCTGCCCGTGCTCGGTGAGCATGTGGCCGTCGTCATCCGAGTTAGTCTCGCAGTGTCTCCGTAAGGCAAGCGAGACCCCTACCTCCCTTTGATAGATGCAGAACTTGAGGTACGGTTTATTTGCCCAGGGTCATACGGTCAGGAGGTGACCTGGAGGGGACATTGTCTAGTGCTGGCTGCAAACTCAGCAGCACTGGTTACTGACTTGGGGTTCACGATCAAGCTCTGCCGCTCTAGCTGTGTCACCTCGGGCAAGGGGTTCACGTCTGCCTGCCTCTGATTTGATGTGTGAAGTGGGCTTTGTGATGCAACCTGGTAAGAAGAATGACTACAGTGCCGTGTAAAGCGCTCCTAACAGTGCCCACATGGGGTAGGTTCTGTGACTAGTCTGACTAAGCACTCCTGTTGGAGAGAGGTTTGCAGAGCACTTAGTGCCCGGCACAGACTGCAGCACTGGCAAAGCTGTTTCCCACCTGGTATGAACTGAAGTCGCAGCTGAGGCCCAGAGTCACAGAAGCTGAGCGCTCTGTCACCGTGGGACTTCATGGTGGTCCTCCACCGTGGGCTGGGTAATGACGCTGGGGAGGAGGGAGGAGGTGCTTAGCCTGTCAGCACTTGACGCCCGGGCTCGCCGAGGCCCACAGAGGTGCAGGGCAGGGAGCGTGGGACGTGAGCTGGAGGAGTGCCGTGGCCACGTCATGTGGGCTCATGGTACACGTCTGGATTTCCGTTCAGGTTTCTCAGAAACCACTTGAAGATGGAGGGAGGATAGTGCGTGATTTCTTTTGGGCCTTGTAAAGGGTCACTTTGGATTCAGGGGTGGAGGGGGAGACTGGGTGGTCTGGGGGCAAGGGAGGAAGCAGAAGAGCCAGTCCGGAAGCTGTTGCAGATCACCCAGCAAGAGACGGCGGTGGTCCGAGGGGCTTGAGGAGGGAAGGCTGCCAGGTCTGGGGCAGAGGGGCAGGGAGCATGCGGGGCTGTGAAGGCAGTGGTGGGGGGTGGAAGATGTACTGGCCGTTGCCGTGCATTTGGTGGTTGCCCTGCAGATGGGCCAAGGGGTCTCCACTGGAGACTGGGTTTAAGAGTTGAGTGCTCAACATCTGCAGGAGACAGATGGAGACAGTGGGAAACTGAGGCTGAAGGAGCCCCGCTGGCCCGAGGTTTCTAAAGTGCTTGCTCGTGCCAGGCCTCATGCCAGGCTCCTCACAGAAAGCATTACTTCACTTCAGTCTCAGAATGATTGTCAGGACACGGGGGTGAGAAAACAGGCTCAGAGAGGTGGAGGGAGTTGCCGCACAACCAGCCCGCAGTGGAGCCGGATCTGAACCCACCACAGGATGGGGAAGAGGACGATGGCTCCACAGAGGGCTGTCATAAGGAAGTGATCCTGAACCTGAACCCTCCACTTGCACTCACGCCTCCTTGGCTGGAGCACAGTGACCTGGCTCTGCCAGCTGCAAGAGAGCCTGGGAAGGGTTTTCTCTGCTTGGATTGCCACATGTCTAGTTGAAACCAGGAAAATTAAATAACAGCATAGACCGAGGATGTTAGCATCTCCGGCCGTAGAGGTCTGCAGCCCCTGCCGCCTCAGGGAAGAGGGGATGCAGTTTGAGAAGGGCCTTCGGGTCTGGCAGCAGGACAGAGCAGTTCTCTGCCCACAGCGTCATCCGTCTGTCAGCAAAGCCGACTGAGCTCCCCCTGCTCACCTCTGGCAGGAACTGGGCACAGAGAGGGGCCAGTCCTGGACTCAGACAGCAGAGACTCTGATAAAGGTGGCAGGAGTGGGAGGGAGCCCGGAGAAGGGGCCTGGGCTGCCTGGTCAGAAAGTCTTCCAAGAAGCAGTAGACAAACCGAATCTTGAAAGATGGAAGAGAGTTTCTCTGGCTGGAGAGAAAGGTGTTCCTGTTGGTGTGCTTGAGGGCAGTGGTGGGGGCGCAGCAGGGGAGCCCCTCCCGGCCCTGTGCTCATGTGCGCAGCCTCACTCGTTCTCACTGCAGCCTCGCTGGGAGGTAGAGGGATTAGTACCATCTTAGATATGCAGAAGCGAGGTGAGAGAATAAGCTCACGATCCTGTGTCCCATAGGCAGGCGCAGAGGTGGGGCTTGGGTGCTCTGTGCCTGGACCCCAGCCTGTGCCTTGAGCTCTGTACCAGCCCAGGTGCAGTGGAAGCCTGACTGCTGCCAGTTTGAGGAAGCTAGGGACTGAGGTCAGCCTTGGGGTGGCACTGTAAAGCGTCTGTCTTGGTCCCACAGATACCATCTATGATGAGGACGAGGTCCTCTTGGCCCTGGCGGAACAACTGGGAACCTTCACCACTCTGGTGGGAGGCCCCGAGTATGTGCACTGCCTGCTGGTGAGTCTGGAAGACGGGAGGCCGGGGAGTGGGGAAGGAGAGTGTAGGGTAGGCCACGAGCTCCCTGCTTGCCACAGCTGGGCCTTGCACACTCACTCTAGTCCAGCAAGTCCACAGTGGCTGTTCAGCAACAGCAGAAACACAGTTGTCTACCTTACCATTAGCTGGGCACTGGGCTGACCAGTGCCCGGCCTTACCTGACACCCAAAGTATAGGGCTTTGGGCTTGGAATCACACTAGGTTCTACCTCTTACTTGCAGTGTGACTTGTAAGGATTGCTTAACCTCTCTGTGTTATCCTCTCCTTACCTGTAAAATTGGAGCCATTAAAACCTATCTTTATAATCAACTTGCGAAACCGTTAGCACAGGACGTGGTGCATAGTAAGTACTAACTAACAGGTGTTAGCTGCCATCGTGCGGTGTGTCATGAAGGCACGTCCCCCCAGCGGGCTTGGCTTGTTCCTTTCTGTAGATGGGCCGCCTGAACTGCCAAGGGGTTAAGCATCTTGTGCACGGTCGCCCGGCTAGCAGGTGGCAGGACCGGCATTGCAGGCATGTCCGTTTGACTCTCCCCCAAACCCCCACCCCACTGCCTACCTGTGTGGCCTTGGGCTGGGTGATGGCTGGGGACAGAGATGGGCCAGTTTCTAATGGTAACTGCTGTTTGGGAGAAGGGGAGGGAGGACCCCGCGGTTGTTGGTGCTGTGGTCTGGGAAGGAGCTGTGCGGTCACCTGGTTCCTTGGCTTTCACTGCCCCTCAGACCCTGAACCCCTGCTGCCCCCTGAACACCCCCAGTAATCCTGTATTTCATTGTTTCCAAAGATGAACATTCATATTTTGGCATCTGTACTGATGGTATCTTAAAATCACTGGCTGCAGCCTTTCTTGCTTTTAATGGTACACCAAGTAATGGTACTTAGAATTGCTGGGATCTGGGGTTTGGGCAAAAATGATAATTTTTCTTCAAACAGCATTAAGTCTAAGGAAATTTGATAGCTGCCATTAAATTCTGATACCTCAACTTTCATCTGTGCTTATGTGTATAATTGGCATGTGTGTACAGACTAAAAACTATGTGAGGGAGATCACATCATACATTTTACACAGAACAGGGCTGCTTAACACAGGAACATGATGAGCTCCAGAGACCAGCCGGAAGGTCCCTTGAAGTTCCTGGGACTGTCTGGCCTCTGGTGTTCATCAGTTTTTATGAGGAGAAAATCTGTAGCTTTCAGCAGTTTCTCAGGGCTCAGGAACAGAAAACCCAAGGTGTTTAGAAGGCTGGGCATCCCCCACCTCTTTCTGGGGAGCAGTTCCACGTGACGTCTGGGGCTGACGTCCATGATGTCACCTCGGCTGCAGACGCGTCCTGAGGTCCCTGGGCCAGGGGATGAATGCTCAGAGCCCAGAGGTGAGTCAGGTTGGAAGGGCTGGTGCTCACTCAGCACCCGCAGCTCCCGCACCAAGTGCCCTAGGCACAGTGACCCGTCACATCCTGCTGTGGCCTTGTGAGGTGCGTGTGGGTGCTGGCCCCAGTTCACTGATGAGGAAACTGAGGCACAGGCTGGCTTAAGTGAATTGCCTGAGCTGGGAAGGAGGCAGAGTCAGGATTCGAATCCGGGTCCTCACCCCTTCACCACTACCACTCCTCCATGCTGTTCTTAGAGGGCTCCAGGCCGCTCCACAGGCTGACTAGTGGGCGAGGAGGGAGGGTGTGGGGCCCTTAGAACCCAGAGGAGGCACCTAACCTGGTTGAGATGGGATGGGGAGCTGTCAAGGAAGGCCTCCTGGAGAAGGTGGCAGTTAACCTGGATTTGGACAAGTCAGGAGAAACGGAAAATGACTGTTGTGCAATTTGTTTGCTCCACAAATGTGAGCAAGGACTGTGGGCTGTGGGCACCCAGTGGTGCAGCAGACCCGACCCCAGCCCTCATCCCTGCAGTGGTGTGGTGGGATTAATCTCACGGAGACACTCGGCAGCTGTGGTGCGAGGACTGATGCTGTTCCAGCAGTCCTGAACCCTTCTGGGCTTGTGGCTCCCTCTGAGAATCCGACGAAAACTCTAGACCCCTTCCTCCAAGAGTACAGATGACTTTAGGGAGTTCACACTCACCCTGTCCACTCAGGCCTTGAGAACCCCGCTCTCTGTCCTTACCAGAGGGGCCCTGAGGCAGCGGGTCCTCTGGTGCTCAGTTGCACCTGGAGGTTCCTAATCTGTTCCTTCTTGGGCACTGCCCCAGAGAGCTGATCGCTCAGGTGTCCGCTGAGATAGGCCTCCCGGGGTGACCTGCCATCACTGGCCCCGATCCACCGGGAGGGCCACTCCTGGGTTACCCACGGGACACCCTATACGGCCTGTCACAGTGACAGGTTACCGTGAGTCCCACTTACAGTCAGCAGGTGAATACTGAGGGCGCGCCTCCCGTGTGCCACCCAGTCCCTGCAGCCGCCCAGTGACACCACCCCCCCACCGGAGCCCGAACCCTGCGGCAGCCACACTGCTCCCGCGCTGCCATGCCGTAGCGCTTCATTCTCCTTGAATCTTTGTCAGCCTTCCGTAAATGAGGTTAAAAATATTTTTTTACTTGTTTTTACTTTTTTTATTGTGGCAAAATATGCAAAAATTTTACCTTTTTAACTGGTGTATGGTGGCGTTAAGTATTTGCATTGTGGTGTAGTCATCACCACCGTTCATTTGCAGAACTTTCCATCTTCCCAAACTGAACCTCTGTCCCATTAACCAGTGACTCCCAGCCCCTGCTTTGTGACTGGCCTGTTTCACTTGGCATATGTCTTCAAGGGTCATCTGTGTTGTAGCATTTTTCACACAGAAACATCTGACCCTTTGGGCTGCTTTTGGGGAACACATTTGCTTTCATGAGCTGTGTTCCCCTGTGGTGACAGTTCACGGAGCCAGGAAGCAGCTACCCTAGGCCACATGCCACCGTGTCTGCCTCTCTCTGTTGTCCCCTCCATCTCCTTTGCTCATTGCCTGGCCCTGGAGGCATTTCCACTTAGGAGCTCTTTCTGCTTCTGCAACCTGTCAGGCCAGGCTGGACTTCAGACAGAGAGCTGCACACCTTTGTTGAACAGAGTAGAATAAATTGGGTCTCATTTGAGAATCCCTTTCCTGTGCTAGGAGCTCTGCTGGACTTTGGGGACAGAACGATGAGCCAGTCAGATGTCCCTAAAGGAGCACAACCCCTGCAGGCCCCAGAGACAAGTGTGCAGCCACTAGCCCAGGGTCCCCCAGCAACGTGTCTCTGAGGCAGAAGCCTGCCGGACCACAGCTGCGCGGTGCTGTGCTTTGGGGGCTCTGTGCCAGGTGGCCTGGTGTAGATCCTGGCTGGGAGCTCTTAACAGCTCGGGCAAGTTACTCGGCTTGTCTGCCTCTGTTTCCACCTCTTTAAAATGGAAATAGTAATGGGGCCTGTTCCATAGGATTCCGTGAATTAGAAGCAGCCTCCTTTCCCCAGGCTGTGACACAGCAGCCCTGTTGAGAACACACAGCCAATAGGGGTTCTCACCAGTAGCAGGGATGATTTCTGCCCTTTGAGAAGCTAACGACAGCTGCAGCCCTCTCTGCAGAGGCCGTGTGCAATTCTGAGGCTCACGGTCCCCACTGAAGCCCCTCCAAGGACCTGTCAGTGAGGTTCTTGATGCTGGTTCTCCAGGGAGGGCATGCTGGGATGGGACGAGCAGAGATGCTTTCTGAGGAGACAGCCTGTGGCGGGGGAGGGGAGGGAATCGTCTCATGACCTTGTGCTCTGCGTCACAGCCGCCCCTGGAGTCACTGGCCACAGTGGAGGAGACGGTGGTGCGGGACAAGGCGGTGGAGTCCTTGCGGGCCATCTCGCACGAGCACTCGCCCTCCGACCTGGAGGCCCACTTTGTCCCCCTGGTGAAGCGGCTGGCAGGCGGCGACTGGTTCACCTCCCGCACTTCAGCCTGCGGCCTCTTCTCCGTCTGCTACCCCCGCGTGTCCAGTGCTGTCAAGGCGGAACTTCGACAGTGAGTCCTGGCCTCTCTCCCCTCAGCCTGGCCCTCTGCTCTTAGGCCTTAGCCTCTTTCAGGCCTACCCGGGGCCCAGACGCCCTGAGCTCTCCCAGCTCCCACCTCTTCTCACCCTCATAGGTTCCCTGGTCTCCAGACATCACGGGTCTGCCTGTGTGTGTTTAGGGAATGGAGATGATGATAATTCCTTCTGCACAGTGGTATTGTGAGAGTGTAAAAGAGTTACATATAATGTACTTAGAACAGAATCTGGTGCATAAAAGCCCTCAAGTGATGTGCGGTGCCGTCTTACACCCGCCTCAGGTCAGAACCCTCTTGGCCTTATCGGCTCAGGTCACCTCTTCCTCCACCCGCCTCCCTTTAGGCTTGATGCTCCTGGAAATTCCTTGTAGGCACGATGCACCTCCCAAAACAATGAATGAAAATGTCTCTAATTGGATTAAAATTTCCCATTAATATATGTTTCTTCCCCTCTCTTTGGACGTCCATCCATCCACCAACTCCAGCTCCAGGATGCTGAACAGCAAGCCCAGGCCCTGAGCTGTTAGGACCCAATACTGGTTTACAGCTGCCCACATGTGCTTGAAGATCTGTGTGTCCCCCTCTGCCCACCCCTGTGCATCTCTGACTGGCGCAATCACTGCTCAGAAGTAAAGCCTTGAGTGGCCCCACCACAGCTTTGCTATGCCACTCTACGGGCATAGTGGTATAGTCAGCACCTGCCATCTGCTGGGACTTACTATGCAGATCTCATTTAAACCTCACAGTGGCCCTGTGGGATGGGGACTGTCACTGTCAGCTCCATTTTATAGGACCTGCAGGACTCAGGAGGGTCATCACTTGTCCCTGGTCACCCAGGCAAAACCCAGCCTTGCGTGACTGCAGTCTGTGCTCACTCCTCGTAGCACTGCTGTGGCCTTGCGACCCCAGGATTATTGCTCCCCCTCAGCCCCGTGCCTGCCCCCAGGTACTTCCGGAACCTGTGCTCAGATGATACCCCCATGGTGCGGCGGGCCGCAGCCTCCAAGCTGGGGGAGTTCGCCAAAGTGCTCGAGCTGGACAATGTCAAGAGTGAGATCATCCCCATGTTCTCCAACCTGGCCTCTGACGAGCAGGTGGGTCCTGCACCAAGCCCGTCCTCCAGCCCCTTCCTCTGGTAGGCCCTGCACCTCATGGGATCCCAGAGCTGCCGCCCTGAGGCCTCCACGCCCTCTCCCCGCTCTGTTCTTCCCCAGGACTCGGTGCGGCTGCTGGCGGTGGAGGCATGTGTGAACATCGCCCAGCTCCTGCCCCAGGAGGACCTGGAGGCCCTCGTGATGCCCACCCTGCGCCAGGCTGCTGAGGACAAGTCCTGGCGCGTCCGATACATGGTAGCCGACAAGTTCACGGAGGTAGGCAGTCTTGACAGTGTCTCACAGGGGGGAAACAGACCCTCGGAGGGGAAGAGGTGGGTCTGCACAAGGGAGCTGGGGTTTCAGTTAAGTCTGTAGAACCATCTGGTGTTCGAGCAGCAAGAGCTCTGTGATGGTCTGGCTGGGTCTCACTGCGCATGCCAGCCAGCACTGGTTGATCGATAGTGGAATTCGAGGGGCTGTGTTGAGAAGGATTCTGGGTTCAGAGTCTGGGAGAGGGCCGCAGAGCAGAGGAGGGCGGTAGTGTGCGCGTGTTCCTGGCCTGGCCAACCGTCCTTTCACAAAGGGCAGGCGTAGCCTGTCCTGGCTTGCCGGGGCTCCCAGAACACAGCACTAGGTGGTGTTTCCTCACAGTCCAAGAGGCCAGAAGTCAGTAGGCAAGGTGCCAGCAGGGGTGGTGTTCTTGAGATTTCTTTCTGCAGGTTCTAGGTGGCTTCTTCCCATGACTTCGCGTGGTCCCCACTCTGTGTGTGTCTATCTCCCCCTATTTTGAGGGCATCAGTCATATTGGATCAGGTCCCACCCTAATGGCCTCGTTTTTAACTTAATTACCTTTTTTAAGGTGTTCAAGTACAGTCATAGTCTGAGGTACTGGGAGTTAGGACTTTAACATATGAATCTGGCTCAGCCCATACTATAGCCCAGAAGTCGGACTGGTCTCAGGGTGACAGCGTCAGGCAGGCAGAACGGGCCAGATGCCATGCCTCCGACTTCAGGGCAGTGCCCTGTACTGGGACCCGGGGGCGCTTCCTGCTGCCATGTTTGCCTAGCACTGATGTTTTGCTGGCCGCTGGGGATGCAGTGCTGTCAGCACACACCTGGCCCTCGAGAAGCAGGCAGCCTGGGGGAAAGGCCCCTGGAGATAGAGGGGGATTTAGTGATGCTGTGCCACTGGAGCTGAGAGACAAATGTGGGGTGCAGACGCCTTGAGAAGAGGAGGTGATTCTACACTGTTCCAGAAGATGAGTGGGCTGGGATTCGAGCTGTGTTCCAGCAAAAGGACAGTGTGTGCAAAGGGCCACAGGGGCCTGGGGGCAAGCGCAGTCAGCAGTGCTCAGGGCCGGCTCTGGGGGCCTTCAGAGAGAGCCGGAGAGATGGGCAGGGTCCGGCAGAGGGGCTTCCCTGCCACTCTGTGCTGAGGCTCCTGTTTCCGTGGTCCCACCTATCCCCACTGGCATTTGCTTGGAGGACCAGAGCCTCTGGGTACTATCTCCAGGGCCCTCGATGTTCCCTGCGAGTGTTAGCACAGCGTGGTTGTGCGGGCTTGTCCAGGAGGCGCAGCACCAGGCCTGACTAAAGATGGCTCTTCCCGTCCTTAGCTCCCGGACAGCACGAACTGGACCACAGTGGGTTTTAGATCAGAGCTCAGGGAGGCCAGGATTTTAGGCTGTTGAAGCAGTGCTTGGCACACAGTAGACACTCGGTAATGTCTGTGTGGGGAATAAAAGGCAGATTTGCTCAGGGTGGTCTCGGGCCCTTCAAGGCTTTTGTTTAGTCTCCTTCCTAATCCTGGACAGCCCTGTTTCCCACCAGGTCTGCAAGAGCCGGCTCTGCAGCAAACTCACAGGCCTTTCTTTGCCCAGTGCCGTGGGACAGGCAGAGCCTGGCATGCCTCCTCCCGTTAATCTGAGTGGTTTTATTGTAGTTACAAAAGCAGTGCGTGGTCTGGTATCCAGTCTTTAAAAATACAGAAGTATGTAAGTCAGAGAGCGAGAGCCACTGAGTCATTAGAATGGTTTTGGATCTGGTAACAGAGAGCCCGACCCCAAGTAGCTTGAAGAGTGAGGGGACCTGTTGTAATTTTCAGTGCAGACAACAGCACTGTGTGGTAGGTACCCTCCTGGTCCTCATTTTGCTTCTGAGGAAACAGGCTCAGAGATGTAAAGCAACTTGTCCAAGGTCCCACAGATGTTAAGTAAGCACGAGAATTTCAGCCCGGCAGCTGGGCTGCAGAGCCACATCTGAGAGCATTGTGAGCGCTGTGCTACCAGCCCCCCTTGGCACCACAGGGTGAGGAAGCCAAGGCTCAGCGACGTGTCCACAGTCACCCCAAGGCACTGGGATGAGATCCCAGTAGGGATCCCCAGGGCCGTGCTCTTGTCCCTAGTTCTGGTCCTTTCGCTCGGGTCTCACTCGCCCCGAGTACCTGCCTGGCCCTCTCACTGCCCCCTGCCTTCCCTGTCTACAGCTGCAGAAAGCAGTGGGGCCTGAGATCACCAAGACGGACCTTGTCCCTGCCTTCCAGAACCTGATGAAAGACTGTGAGGCCGAGGTGAGGGCCGCAGCGTCCCACAAGGTCAAAGGTTGGTGCTGGTGACGAGAACACAGCAAGGGGGGCGGGCGTCCCCGGGGCTGGCTGCAGAGCTAGGACCTCAGGTCTCGCCTTCCTCTGCCGCTCCCCCTTCCCCTGCCCCCAGAGTTCTGTGAAAACCTGTCTGCTGACTGTCGGGAGAACGTGATCATGACCCAGATCTTGCCCTGCATCAAGGTAAAGGGGGGTCTGCTGGGAGGAGTGGTGCAGCGCTCAGCCTGCTGGGAAGAAGCTGGGGGTGGTGGCCATAGGCAGACTGAGTTCCCAGCCTTCTAGGATGGGTGGGCTTGGCCTTGAGGCACCTGGGGGCCCTGAGCACAGGCAGGATCTGAGGCTCCAGCTGGGCTTGGGGGTGGGGGTGCTCCCCCCGGGAGGTCACAGTCCTCTCACCTGAAAAGCTTCAGGATTGGGGTGGGGGCTGTAGGGAGCCAGTCTCTTAGAACGATAGGCAGGTGGTTCAGGTAAGGGACTGCACCGCCCCTGGTACCCCATGTTGTCCCCTGCTCCACAAGGGGGACGGGCAAAGGCAGGCTGTGGCTCAGGGCGTCCTGGGAGCTGGTGTCTACTTGGCCACTTGCTGCTGCAGGGGGACTCTGACCCAGTGGCTTCCCCTTCCTTGTGCCTCCCAGGAGCTGGTGTCAGATGCCAACCAACACGTCAAGTCAGCCCTGGCCTCAGTCATCATGGGTCTGTCTCCCATCCTGGGCAAAGACAACACCATTGAGCACCTCCTGCCCCTCTTCCTGGCTCAGCTAAAGGACGAGGTAAGGGCCCCAGGACAGCTCTGAGTTCTGGGTTTGCAGAGGTGACAGGTGAGTTGGCAACTTACCCAGATTAGCCAGAATCTCCCGGAATCTCCGACCTCTGATGAGTTGAGTGTGTGCCTGATAGACTGCGTTCACTCATTCCCTTATTAGGCAGCTGTCTTACGTGCCCATTCTGTGCTGCCACGCTCGCCGAGTACTGCATTAATAATTCTCAGGATTACAAATCAGGGTTTTCTTATACAGTGAAACTATTTTCTTGTAAGGAAAAACTTAGATCATTTATTTATGCCAGTCAGTTTGAACCATCCTTAATTTTTATAATGATCAAAACTTTAGAACCTAAGTGCTTTACTACACATAATTTCTTTTCTAAGCATGCTTTTTATAGCTACTTGTTATAAATTAGAATTTTTTTTCCTTCTGATGTTTAAATGGGGACAACAAGGCTGGTGAGAATCCCTCCGGTTGGCTTCTGAGACCTGTTAACACCTCTCCAGAGTCTTGGAGAGTGTGTTGCTTTCTGGTGTCAGGAAGGGGTCCAGATTCAGCTTGAGTGTGAAGGTGAGCCAGCTCCTTGCCGGGCGGGAGCAGGTTGGTGTTCCGGTTTCACCTTCAGGCACTACGTGGTGGTCATGTCCCACTATGGTAGCCACAGCCTGTCCCGGGGCAGCTTCGCGTGCAAAGAAGAGAAGAACCACTTGGTTTTCTTGGTATAGGACACTCACTGGCTTACATCTGGAATTTCCATTTTAGGTCTGTGAACTTAATATTTTACATTTGACTCTCACCAAGATTTACACACTTGTCTCAATAAAAAAGCCTACCTTTTTCTCGGTATGTAAACAGAATTCTTTCTAAATGGGTACAGCGTACATGCTCTTGGAACACCTCCCATGTGTTCAGTGCACAGAGGCTTGTCACCAGGAGCTCAGAGGGGTTCCCTTCCAGGAGGCTGGCAGCCACCAGCCTTGCCTGTGGGATGTGCAGGGTTCAGACAGCCCCGGCCTCCTGCACCAGTCCTTCCATGCACACACTTGCTCACTGGAGTCTTTGATTCATTTCAGTGCCTTTTTGTGGTGTGTGACCAGAATAGTTCAACTAGGAAATTACAGTGAGAGGATACAGATAAAATCAGGAAAGGGAAAACGTGCGCAGGAGAGACCAGGCACGAGCTCCTGGTTGTCCTCTCCCAGGGGAGTCACACGGACAGCTCACAGATCTCCACTGTGACGCATGACAGCACCCCAGCGAAGAGATCCCCACGGGCCTTGGCTTCGTGGGGCTTACTGGGCATCATTCCTGTCGGCGTGGGATGGAGCTGCTCACGGGGTTGATCACTGTTACTCTGGCCCCAGACTCTGCAGAGGCCCAGTTGATGGCATGCAGCCCAAGGCTCCCCATCAATCATGTTGTTAGCATGGTCTGTCTGGTTTGGCCCAAGGTCCCCAGATAAACAAAGACACTCTGATGAGGCAGGGTCTTTGGGGGCTTAGCGCTCATCTCCCCTGAGCTGGTTGCCTGCCAGTCCTTATCCGGAACATGCTGAGTTGGGGCAGCCTCGGCCTGCTGGGTCTACCCTTTGCTGCACTGCACACTGGCTTCCTTGGCTCATCGATCAATTCCTTACGTGGCTCAAATGTGTGCCTGCCATCTGGGAATGCGGGATGCAGGGCAAGGATCTAGTGGAGCTCCTCTTCTGACTAACAAGAATGAGCTGTGTTTATGTGCCTTTCCTTGTCAGCTGGGTCACGTGGAGGTAGGTGGAGCTTGTGCACAGTTGCAAACCAGTGCCCTGATGTTGGCAGTCAGCAGGTGGTGCACACGTAGGCCTCATTCTTTGTTCACTCTTTCGGCCGAAACATCTGAGCACCTCCTGTGGCCTGAGACTGCTGGCTTCTGGAGACACAAGGATGAGTGAGACCCGCTCCTTGAGAGCTCAGAGATAGGAGACGAGTAAAAGGAGGGGAAAGGACACTGATGGGCTCCCACACAGGAGCCCTTTGTGGATCAGGGACTGGCAGGCCCTGTAATGGCCTCATCTGCTTTCTAGGCAGATGTCCTCTGTCCAGACTGATATCCAGGGGGTCGTGTCCTGCTCCCAGCTGGCACACAGCGGAGTAGGGTGGTGGTGATCATGCCTGTTTCCCAGGGTACCATATTTTTGCGTTCTGATTCCTCAAGTTCTTCAGAATAGCCAAACATTCCTTGGGCTGCTCTTTGGAAAAGCTGCTCCACTTGGTGCTGTTAATGTGTCCCCAGGGCGAGGAGCTGGTTTCGGACACTAGTAGGCCCTCAGGTGGTGTGTGTTCTCTGAAGCTGGTGTGGTCCGGCTCCCTCATCCTGTCCTGCTCACCACTTGAAGTGCAGCCTCCTAGAGCCCCTGTCCCCTCCTCAGTGCCCCGAGGTGCGGCTGAACATCATCTCTAACCTGGACTGCGTGAATGAGGTGATCGGCATCCGGCAGCTGTCACAGTCCTTGCTGCCTGCCATCGTGGAACTGGCTGAGGATGCCAAGTGGCGCGTGCGGCTGGCCATCATCGAGTACATGCCCCTGCTGGCCGGGCAGCTGGTGAGTGAGGAGGCCTGGGGGCCAGGGGCTGGTTGTGGGGCGGTGTGTCCTGGTCTGTGGATGTCGGGGCTGACAGACAGTGTGAGGACTGTCTGGGGCATGGGAGGAAAAGGGGCTTGAGAGACGAGTGAAGTTCCATTAGGAGAAGAAGGGAGGAACACCTAGGTGACGTTGAGAACGGCCTGTGCATTTGTGGGGGTTGGGTTCCTTCCCCGTCTCCCTTGATCCTGTATCTCCTGTTTTCCTGCAGGGGGTGGAGTTCTTTGATGAGAAACTCAACTCCTTGTGCATGGCCTGGCTCGTGGATCACGGTGAGCTCCTCAGGGTGCAGGGGAGGCTGCTCCCCGAGCTGTTCAGATGCTCACAGGGACCAGTGTCCTGGCATTTCAGGGTAGGAGGGGTACAGAACAGCTCCCCCAGAGCTGCCTGCTTAGCGGATAGTCCGAGGGTCACCGAGCAGATGGCCCTGGGTGGCATCCCATCTCCTCACTGTTGAGCTCAGGCGACTCACTTGCAGTGTGTCCTCCCACACCCATTCAGTGACACATGGGACTTCTCATACCGATCTTTCAGGGCCATTGCGAGAAGTGCTCAGTTTTCACAAGAAGTGGTAAAAGAAAGAAAATTTGTCTGTGTCAGGCACCATTCTGAGTACAACATACTTGTGATGTGCTTGGACACGTCACTTCTTGGAGCCTCGGTTTGCCCCATCCATAGGGCGAGGCCACTTATGGAGTGTGCGTCTTGGAGCTGTGGGGAAGGTGCTGAGTGAAAGAAACCCTGCCTGGAACATGTGGTGGCCCTCAGAGGCTCTCGCTTCCCCCATGGCCTCTGCTTGGTACCATGCAGTGGGGGGAGGGAGAGCAGCTGCTCCTCCCCACCCGCTCAGGCCCGCGCCTCTCCACTCCCCTGCAGTCTATGCCATCCGCGAGGCAGCCACCAGCAACCTGAAGAAGCTGGTGGAGAAGTTTGGGAAGGAGTGGGCCCATGCCACTATCATCCCCAAGGTCTTGGCCATGTCTGGGGACCCTAACTACCTGCACCGCATGACCACGCTCTTCTGCATCAACGTGAGCACCCCTCCTGCCCTTGGCCCATCTTGGGTCGGGGGACTGAGAGTGACTAGGAGAGGAGGGATGGTGGACTCCTGGCTTGGGAGTGGGGAAGAGGTCAGGTTAGGTTGGCAGGATGATTCTCTGGGGAATGACAGGCCAGAGGTCAGGGCTCCCTGGTCAGAGTCACAGGGCTTCTGGGGTGAGGACCTGCTGTGGGAAATGCTGGACTAGGGAGGCCTGGCCGTTGGGGCAGTGATTGCAGATTTTTCTGAGCACCTCTCTCCTTCCCCACGAAATACATGTGTGTGTTTGCTTATGATATGATCAAGTGTGCAGGCCCTAGAAGCATACCTAGCTTTTAACTCTGGCTCTGCCGGATGTTAGCTGTGGACCTTGGGAAAATGGCCCAGCTGCTCAGTGTTGCATCTTTCTCACCTGTCAGGGATTCACACTGGTGATCACAGCACCTGACTCATTAGATTGTGAAGGTCAGTCTGGTTATACTTGCAAAGGGCTTCCCAGCAGTTACGTAGAGGAAGTGCTCCTTTCCCCTTGCTTACATAAACTACACGCAAGTAGCGAGTAAAGGATAGGACCCCCAAACAAGAAGAGCCAAATGCTATGATGATTTCTTTCCGTGCCTAACTTAGCGACCACCGCACTAAGGAAAAGGGGTCCCAGGGTCTGGGAGTCACCACCATCCCCAGAGGTTGAACGGGAATCTGAGCTGGGGAGGTGGGACTAGGGTGGCCTGGGCTCGGGGTTTCCAGGGCGGGGAGACAGGGAGGGAGGAGAGCACGAGATGAGACGGGAGATTCAGGAGGATACACCCTGGCTCAGAACCTCCTGGATTGCTCAGCTTCCCCCTCAGACCTGGTGACCCTGGTGGCCCATCAGAGGGAAGGGGAGATGCACAGTAGCCGTGAACTCTGGGTAATGGCCCTCTGCCGCTCACTGACCCCCCCAGGTGCTGTCCGAGGTCTGTGGGCAGGACATCACCACCAAGCACATGCTGCCCACGGTCCTGCGTATGGCTGGGGACCCTGTCGCCAACGTCCGCTTCAATGTGGCCAAGTCCCTGCAGAAGATAGGGCCCATCCTGGACAACAGGTGAGACCCGGACCTCCCTCACACACCAGCGGGCTGGTTCTGGGCATTTTAATCCCTGACGTTGAAGACTGAGCCTCGGGTTTGAGGCTCAGGGCTGCTCTTCACTTGCTGTGAGCTTGTGACCTTGGCGTGTTACTTTGCCTTCACAAGGTCTTGGTTTCCTCAAGTATAGAATCAGAATACACATGGCCTGCCTCAGATTGTGGGAAGGGACAGAAGGGTGGCAGTTCTATATATGAGCAACAGATGATTAGAAAACAAAATTAACCAATAGAAGTATATTTGTGTGTAATTTATAATTGCACCAAAACCACCAAATACTCAGGAAAACATTAACAAAAGATGTGTAACATCTCTAGTGGAAACTATAAAACATTGCTTTGAGAAATTAAAGATCTACATAATATTTATGGCTGAGATGGTTCCCCAAATTCATGCATAGACTCAGTATAATCTTAGTCTCAGCAGGTTCTTAGTGAAAAATTGACAAGCTGATTCTGGAATTAACATGGAAATGCAAAGATCTGAAATAGCCAAGGTGATTGTAAAGAAGAACAAAGTTGTAAGGCTTATACTACAAGATACAAAGACTTATAATGACACCACAGTAATTAAATAAAGCAAGGTGCTGGCACAGTATTCTCAGCCCAGTGGAACAGAAATGAGGGCATAGAAACAGACCCACCTGTGTGTGACATCCCAGTGCAGGTGCTGGGGAGGAAGTGTAGGCATTTCCCGTAGATGGCTGGGACACTTGGGTATGCATGTGGGGAAGAAACCTCCCACCTCAGTGCTTAAACAGATCAGAGGTAGCACACCAGAATCAAAAATGTAAAAAAAAAAAAGAAGAAGAAGAAAATGTAGGAAAATATGTGCAAGACTTGAGGGAGGCACAGATTTGCTAAATAGCTCACCAGAGGAGGAGATCGTTAAGTTGGCCTTCAATAAACAAAGAACTTTGTCAAAAGAATATTATGAGAGTAAAAAGTCCAGCCATTGCCTAGGAGGAGGTATTTACAACATGTATTTCTGACAGAACTGATTTGTCCAGAGTACTTACCTACACATCCAAAAGACAAGCCATAAGAAAGAGCGGGGCAAGAACACCCAAATGGGCACCTCCACAGGGTGATCTACACGGAGCTAGTGAGCCTGTGACAAGGTGCTCAGCATAATTAGCCAGCAGGGTAGGCAGTGCAAACGGAAGCGCACCCAGAGCCTAAACCTAAAAACCTGTCATTGCTGTTAGAGCAGCTGGGACTCCCATACATTGCAGTGGGGCTGTAACTGGCAAGTAGTAGAGTCACTCTGCACACCGGTAGGACCTGGTGAAGCTAAGCATATGTCCGCTCTGTGAGCCAGCATGTCCACTCCTGGGTGTGCATCCAAAAGAAATGAATGCTCATTTCTAACAGAATATTTGTGGTAGCCTTACTCATATGACCAATGAAATAGAAATAACCCAAATGTCCATCAGCAGTACAGTGGATCAATTGTGGTTTATTCATACAAAGGGAAACCCTATTGAGCAATGAAAAAAGACTCCTACTATAGGCAGCAACCTAGTGACTGTCTCAGACATGTTGAGTGAGAAGCCAGACCCCAGAAAAGTATCCTGTGACTCCATTTGTATCAAGTTCAGAAATAGGTAAAACAGATCTAGGTGACCAATGAGAGCAGTGGTTGGTTGGAGTGTGAGGACTGTCCTCTGGACAGCGGCACTGGAAACCTGCGCTGATGATTTTTTTCTATGTCTCTTCGGGGACACAACCTCCCACCTTTAGTTCGTATGACATTTCCCAGAACAATTGACTTTCAGTGCAGGCGGACTCCCTGGCCCCCCTTGCGTGAGAATAGATGCCCTGGGCTCCTGCCAGTCTTCTGTTACTTCCCATCAGTCTGCTCTGATTCCCCAGGCCCGGGAGTCAAGAGTGTTGCATTTACCCCTGGGCTTACACCTTATACCCAGGCGGCCTCGGTAAACACACAGCTAATACACAGGCAGCCTCAGTGAACACACACCTAATACACAGGCGGCCTCAGTAAACACACACCTTATACACAGGCGGCCTCAGTAAACACACACCTAATACACAGGCGGCCTCAGTGAACACACACCTAATACACAGGCGGCCTCAGTAAATACACACCTTATACCCAGGCGGCCTCAGTAAACACACGCCTTATACCCGGGTGGCCTCAGTAAACACACACCTTACACACGGGCGGCCTCAGTGAACACACGCCTTATACACGGGCGGCCTCAGTGAACACACGCCTTATACACAGGCAGCCTCAGTGAACACACACCTAATACACAGGTGGCCTCAGTAAACACACGCCTTACACACGGGTGGCCTCAGTGAACATGCCTTACACACAGGCGGCCTCAGTGAACACACGCCTTATACCCAGGTGGCCTCAGTAAACACACGCCTTATACCCAGGCAGCCTCAGTAAACGCACGCCTTATACCTGGGCAGCCTCAGTGAACGCATGCCTTATACCCAGGCGGCCTCAGTAAACGCATGCCTTATACCCGGGCAGCCTCAGTGAACACATGCCTTATACACAGGCGGCCTCAGTAAATGCGTTACACAAATGAAAGACATCAGTTTGCCACCCCTCAAAGACTTGCAGGCTTGGACTCTGTGGCCCACTTTCCTAGACTGACTGACCCCTGTGTGCCTGTTCTGGGCCCCAGAGACGTCTGTCCTGGTTTATCAGACTCTCATCTCCGGAAGGCCTGTATCCGGCCTCATGGGCTTGTCCATGTCTATGTGCACCTTGCCAGGAGCCCTCCGCCTGCCTGTGCCCCTGGCCCAGCCTGGCTCACTGTCTTCCTTCTCCTTCCAGCACGCTGCAGAGCGAGGTCAAGCCCATCCTGGAGAAGCTGACCCAGGACCAGGACGTGGACGTCAAGTACTTTGCCCAGGAGGCCCTGACTGGTAAGGCGTGGAGCACCCAGAGACCCCAGCGGGAGCGGGAGCGGGGTCGGTGAGATTGGGCCTGGGCCTGGGCCTGGGAGGGGGCGATGCAGGAGCAGCAGTGGGTGGAGGGCCTGCTGTGGTCTGACTCCCACCTGTTCCTGTTCCTGTCCCCCCAGTTCTGTCTCTCGCCTGATGCTGGACAAGGAGCAGCTGCCGGTCTCTGGTGTCCACCTTCCCCCAAGTCCCTTCCTTGGGGAGACAGTAGTGGGCCTTTGCTGTCACCCCCTGTGCATGGTCTGACCCCAGGCCCCTTACCCCGCCCAGTTCCTCCTCTCCCCAGCCTGGGAATCTGCCATCTGTCGTCCTCCCAAGGGGTGGGGGGGCCTGCATGGCGGGACAGGACAGCGGCCCTGGGGGGAAGGGACCACTCCCGCCCGTGGTGGAGAGATGTGAGCATCCTGACCACAGGATCCTGCTGCTGTAAAGGGGACACCTGTCCCCCATCTGCTCCACCTCCTTTCTCCCTTCCTCCCCCTCAGTGGTTTTCGTGTGTGTCAACTGTGCCATTTTTATTTTATTCCCCTTTTCCCCCTTTTCACAGAGAAATAAAGGTCTAGAAACAGCCAGTCCTCTGGTCTTAGTCACTAGCCTGGAGGAGGAAGCGCCACGCCAGGGCCCTGGTCTCTGCCCTCCTGTCTGAGGAAGGCTATTACTAGGCCTGGGTTTTCTCTGGAGTGCAGCTGCCTGCGGGGTACAGAGGCCATGAGGTGTCCCTGGCCGGTGGAGCTCAGGGATGCTGTTACATTTTGGGCCTTGGCCCAGTGCCGGTGATTCAGAGCAGGGGGCTGGAGGCCAGATTGCCTTGTCTCAATCCCAGTTCCTTCAGTGAATAGCTGTGTGCCCTTAAGTAGGTTACCCTGTCTCTCTGAACTCAGTTTTGTATTCTGTCAGCGGGGATCACAGTAGAGTCTAGATCACAGGGCCAGGTGTGAAGATAAATGAGTTAATACACGTGAAGTGGGTAAGGGCCCGTGGCACGTGGGAGGCAGTCAGCTGGGGTTAGCTTCAGACTGGCAGAGTGCCCTGCAGGCCAGACCTGCCCCTGCAGAGGTATCAGGGCAGTCAGGCCTGTATCAGCGCAGGAAGGGGCCTGTGGCAGGGCAGAACCGGTTGTCCCTCAATGTGTGTCCTCCTGTTTCTTTCCTAATAGTAACGTGCTGATTTTTAACTGGACACGTGATTGTCTAGCTTCGACGCATCTTCCCTGACCTTTTGAAATTGGGTGTGGCGTTGTGGCTAGATTCCAGCTAATCCTATGGGAACAAGAGTGGTGTGTGCAGCTTCTAGGAAGTGTTCCCAAGGGAAGATAGGCACACCCCCCACCTTCTGCCTTCCTATATTCTGGAATGTAGACCAGATGGCTGGAGTGGGTGCAGCCATCTGGGGCCAAGAAGTGATGTTAGGAGACTGGGCCCCTGCTGCTGTGAAGATCTGTGCCAGTGGTGGTTACCTGGAAGTTACAGTGTTTGGCTATTCATTTGGGAGTTCATCACTTGCAGGTCACCCCAGTTCTAACTTATGCAGGGCTCAAAGAGCTCTGGAGAGAGAGCAGCAAGAGGGTTAGGGGGTGGTGGTGCATTAAGGTTTCACAGAGGACTTGATAACTTGAGTGAAATTTGGCTCAGTGGGGTGGGGGGTAATTGGCATGGGTGCCAAGGTGACTTCATCAGCTCAGCTCTGTGTTGCCCAATCCTGCGGGCTCGTCAGACCCCGCTGGGTCCTGAGCGGTGAGGGCGAGGGAGGCCTCATTCCTCCCATTGTTAATTCAGTCGCTTCATAATGGCAGAGCCTGGGATTTAGATTCAGCTCCCCCGTCCGCACCTCGCCGCCCCAACCCACAATTGTACCTTTCCTGGGACGTAAATATTTGAAGGACTGAGAGAAGTGAGCTGAGGGCAGTACATTACTTTGAGTGTAATGTTCAACGTTCAAGCATGGTAGGCAGCCTTCTAGCAGTTATTGAAGGTACATTAGAGTGAATGATCCATGGTGTTCCGCATGTACTGTACTACTAACACCCACCCCAAAACTTAGTGATGACCCGAAACAGTAAAAGTGCCTTATTCCTCGTAATTCTGCAGCCCAGGCTCAGCTCAGCTGGGAGGTGCTTTCACTCCATGTGGTGTCTCCTGGGGTTGGAACTTCAGGATGACCCCTTCGCACCCTGAGGTGCCTTCCGGCCCCTCCGCCGAGGCCTGCCACAGCTGCTCTGCACGCAGCTGCTCCAGGGCAGCAGCACCTCTTGACCTGACAGCTTGCCGTTCCACAGCAGTTGGCAGAAGAAGTCCCAGTTTACGGTTGCTTTTCAAACCACTGCGTGCGTCACAAGCCAGAACAAGTCATAGAGCCAAGCCCAGGTCAGGGTGGGAGGGGACCACACAAGACGAGAAAACCTGGAGCTGTGGTCCTTCGGCTGCTGCTGGTGCAACCGGCCCCCACACGTGGCCTGGACACATACGTGGGATTCACTTCAGCTCTGCTGACATGTGGAGGATCAGCAGCCCGAGAGGAGGCCCAGCCGGAGGGCATAGGGCGTTTGGAGCAAGCTGAAGAGTCCAGCTGTCCTGGAAGGCGGAGGCAGCCACGGGGGTTTTGACAAAAAGTAGTGACAGCATCAGAACTGAAGGGGGACGCCCGCGGCCAGGAGCCCCAGGAGGGTTCTGGTGTAGGTGTGTGAGGGGTTAGGGAGGTGGTGGCAAAGGGAAGTGGGGGGAGGTGGCCGAGGACGCAGACCAGGACTTGGTGACACCTGGGTTGGGGGGAAAGGGAAGGATGCCGTCACCTTGGCAACCAGAATTCAAGTCTTCACAGCCTCACCACCTGCTCCTCCCTGGGAGACATTCCCGGCTCCTGAAAACCCACACGGTTCGGCATCTCCAGCCTGTTGCCTGTGACATGAACCTCTGCGTGGAAAGCTTTCCCTCCTCACTCCTCAGGGGAGCAGAAGTGACTGGGCGTGGAGAGCGGGCAAAGGAGGGGTGCAGTGGGCGTGGAGAAGTCGGTGGGGGCCGGATCCTGAGAGGCCTCCGGATTCCAGGGTGCAGGGCTTGAATGGGGTCCTGCAGGACTGGACCCAGTGAGACGGGAAGCTCCTCCTAGCGTCAGGTGAGGCCAGGGAGCTGGGGTGGCGGTCCTGGAAGGAAAGAGGAAAGCCAGCACTGGGCTGGGGCCGAGGAAATGGCAGGGAGATGGGGGACTTGATACCAAAACTCCTCTTCAAACCCAGGGGTAATTACACAGGAGCCCCCAGGAGAAGGCCCTGGCCCTGCCCTAGGCTCCGTGTCAATCCGACACATGCCTTGTCATCAGCACTCCTGGGGGAGTCCCCACTGCAGCCCCTCCCTCTGCACTCACCCTGTCCAGCTGTGTGTTCCAGGTGAGGGACAGACTCGGGGTGCTTGGGGCGTGTGATGGGGTCTCTCAATGCACCGAGAGTACCAGAACTCCATAAAGCACTCCCAGAAGGAGAAAACTCCTTCATCTCTGATAGCTTAAGATCCTTGCAGGGCCAGGAGGGGAGCTGGCCCTAATAGACTCACAAGGAGAAGCAGGTAGGCCTGGCACCCTAGGAAATAGGGGTCCTCACCTCATAACCGTGATGCAAGATGTGGGAGTTCCTGCTAAGCTTTTTAGTAAGTCACTGAGAGCAAAACCAAATCTGACCTGAACTACTGTAGTGGCAAAACCTAACTTAATTTGGAGTCTTTATCCCTCTTAAATGGGAAGCAAATCACAGAGATACCCGTGTTTTAGAACTATATGGAATATACCAAACTAGTAATAAAATTCCAAAGAAAATCCCAGGCCTAGATGGCTTCACTGAATTCTACCAAAACACTTAGAAAATTAATACTAATTCCTCGCAAACTCTTCCAAAATATAGGAGGGGAGGAGACACTTTACAACTCATCCTGAAGCTAACATTGCCCTGACACTGAAACCAAAGACACCAAGAAAGAAAGCAAGCCACGGATCAACGTTTCTTAGGAACTTAGATGCAACAATCCTCAGCAAAATACCAGAACATCTCAAATCCAGCAACACCGAATTGTAAATCATAACCAAATGGAGTTTATCCTCAGCATGTGGGGTTAATTTAACATCAGAAAAATCAATGTAATACATTCTAATAAAAGAAAAATCACACAATCATCTCAATTGGTGCTGAAAAAGTATGTGACAAAATCTAACAAACTGAATAGCAGGGAACTTCCTTAGAGGCACCTACGAAAACCCACAGCTGGCGTGATCGTGACGAGAGACTGCTTTCCACGTCAGATGGGAACAAGACAGGGATGGCCACTCTTGCCACTCCCGTGCAACATTGTGCTGCGAGTTCTAGCCGCCTAATTTAGGTGAGGAAAAGAAAAGGCATGCAGATGGGGAAGGAGGAAGAAGAAACATGTTTGCAGATGACGTGGTCTTGTTACAGGAAATCTAAGGAATCTGCTAAAAAAAAAAACCTAATAAACAAGTTCAGTTAGATTGCTGGGTACAAGATCAGTCTACAAAAATCATTTGTATTTCTGTACATTGGCAGATACGTGTTGGTAAGGAGTGTGGAGACACCAGAACTCTCACTGCTGGTGGGGGTGTAAATTGGTGTAACCACTTTGAGAAACATTCTGGCAGTCCCACTGAGACACCGTTTCATCCAGTGATTCCACGCCGAGGTATACACACGAGGCTTGAAAACACGAGTCCATGCAAGAACTTACACACACACATTCATAATGGATTGTTCACAATAGTAATGTGGAAACCAAATGCCCACCAACTGATGAATGTGCAGATAAAATACGTATCATATACTGGATATCACTCAACCATAAAAACAAATGACGTTCAGACACATGGTACAACCTGAATGAACTTCAGAAATATTATGCCCGAGCCAGGGGTCTGTCTACACGTCCCTAGCTTGGAAGCCACTACGTGCAGCAGCTGGAGACAAGCTTCACCCCTCCTGGAGAGTTGAAGTTCACAGCTCTAGGCCCTTGATCCTGGACCTTCATCCTGGAACTTGTCTGAGCACTGTGTTCAGCCTGCCATAACTCATTTTGGAGATGAACTGTCCCTCTTTCCATTCTCCGTGACAATACGCAGGATCTTATCCTTGGTGAGAACAGTTTTCTCATCAGGGATGAGGTGCCACCTGCGACCTTCATCTGCTTAGGGAGTCACAGCGATTCTCTGGGGACGCCTGCAGGTCGTGCACCCCAGGTGGGTCCTGCTCCTCTTTGCTGCTCTAGACCCTTGGTGCTGAACCTAGGGAGTAGCTGGAGCCAGGATGAGCTACACTGCCCAAGCCTGCAAATAGCATGACCTCTCTGCACCCTCCACCCCCCATTTAGGGTTGTCCCCTGCTCGTCTGTCCCTTGGCCAGAGTGTCCAACGGTCAAGTAACAGGTCACTACAGATGGAGTCGGGCATCACTTCCCCTCACTGCACTGTTTGCCCAGACTCGAGGCTGAGATGGGAAGGGAAGGGAAGTAGCCTCTGACCATGTTTCATCTGGAGCAGAGGTGGAATGAGGTCCCCCGCAGGCTCCTGCTAGCTCCCTGGC